TTAGTAAAATTGAACCTATATATATAAAATCCATAGATCAACAAGCTGTATCACGTAACAACAATAATTAAACGCAATTAATACTCCAAAGCATTTCAAAATCGGCCGATTTGAAATGTTTAAATTGATATCGTATAGTTTCATTTCCGGGAACTACGTTGACAATTTCAAAATTTCACCGACTAAGCACCTTTTTCTGTCGACATCTCTTTAAACGCATTCCCAAACCCTTTTCTCACAATTAAAAGATTACCATCGAAAACGATTCCGCTTTGCCGCCGACATTCGGCATTCAAGTAATTTGCGAGCCGGAACGCTCCGAGCGTGAAGTAATACGCGTGCGTGCCAAGAGAGGAAACTTTGATGAAATGCGGAAAGACTTCTTGCAGTTTTAGAAACGTATGAATAAATCATTCCAGTCGCGTCGAGAGCTACAGATCACAGTGTGATGGCGTGCGATTCTCCTTTCCACACTCTTGTGCGATATTAGAATGCGGAAATTTTATAAGTTTTTAATTAACCAATATTTAAAATATTTTTAATTAACCAATATTTAAAAATTAAGATAAGCTATGAAAACAAACTACATCAATTTTAACTTATATTAAACGTTATCGATCGTGAATTTATAAAATATAAATAAGTGAATAATGAAATGTGTAATTTGATATAGATAATGTGTTGTAGATGTGAAAAAAATTGCTCCCTATCGTACACTAAAACGATTTACATGGTTTCTTTTCGCCCCTTAAGCATCTATCTTCTCGAAAAACAAGACCGTAATCACATCAAGATAAGGTAAGCTTCGAAAGCCAGCAATCAACAATTGTTCGCTCACCCGCGAAATCGCGGAATGCCATTAAGGCTTCCCACGTTTTTCGTTTCATTGACCCCGCAAACTCGATTCTGCCGCAGTGTCGAGATTTTCGCGATAGGGTCGAGCCAGATTTGCCAGCGACGTTCGTGCCGCGGTTCTTCGCAATTTTAATTAATCTACAATTATCGAAATGTTCGGTGTGCCACGTGGCCCACTCGTTTAATTAGTCGTCGGTGCCTCGCAATCCCCTCGGTCTCACAAATCCACGTTTTCTTCCTTTACGCTTCGACGAGTCGTAATTACTTCCGTTTCACGTTCAACATTAAATAAAACACACTCGACGTCATTTAGCCGTGCGGTCAAGTGCGAGTAAAGCTACTCAACTGTACTTCGATCTCGCCTGAGTTATTTTCCCGTTGTTGCTGTTTTTGTTGTTGTTGCGAGGACCACTACGGTTCTCTGATAGAGAACTCCCGATCGGACGGTAAATATTTAAACGCGAAACGAATCTGACTGCGTCCAAGTCTTCTGCTGACGTTAAGCTTTAAATACGAGGTTGCCTGAATTGACTTGCGGTAATTTAAATCAACTGCACTGTTAGAACAGAATCAATTTGTAAAGGAATTTGCAATTGCTATAATAAGCGTTCAAAATTATAGTGTTAAAATTAAATAAAAACAAATTACTTCGTATCGCTTTAGCAATTTATTCGTAACGTAAAAATCCAACATTATATTATAGTAAAATTTTCAAGTTTATGAAAAACGAATATTGTAACAATAAAACTTTTTTAAATAAAGTTGAACTATTATTACGAATTCTAAAATGTCTGACCGTATGGAATGCGTGGAATTCACACGGCTCATGTTAATTTTAAGTTGTAATAGCTATGAATAATTTTTCAGAATTACATCAGAAATGGGGCATTTTTTTTTAAATAAAGTGATTTATTGACAAGAAACACGGAGTTATTTCTCAATTTCTCGGACCAGTCTCGAGAAGTGACAATATAATTTCATCAAGGTGTCGGAGGAGGAGGAGGAGGAGAAAGAAACGCCGAACAGTCGCGCATTTTCTTTTCGCATGCAGCACGGCGCCCGGCCTTGATGGCCCACGAAATAACGACGACATGGCGATCTCGTTAGAGGCCACGGTGTGTAAAATAGGTTAAAAACCCCTCATTTTCACGCCCGAGGGACGAAATTACGCGGTCGGCATACCCGGTGGCTTTTGTCACCGGGTGATTCAATTGCCACGTTACCAACAAAAGTATACGTCGCTTTGTCCGCGCGTACACAAAGCGACGCTGCTTCGCGAAAATTGGAATAATGTCCAACCCGCAAAGAGCCTGGACGCGTGCCTCGGACTCATCCAAATGTAAAGAAAGTCGAAATTATTAAGAAATATGTGCGTATATAAATCCCTCCTTTTCTTGCCTCGAGATACGCGTTTTATTTCGAGTTCCACGGTCGTACGTCGTAAAACTATTAGAAGCAGAAAAAAATAATACAGAAAAGAGCCTTTTGTTGCCGGCAATGTTATGCGATTCTATTAACTTTTTTTAGACAAAGACAGTTTTCCGTGCTTATAACGCTTTCCAAAGCTTGGAAAATATACGCGCGACGTAGAATTTAAAATGAATTACTTGATTGCGTGAGATGATTTCGGTATATTTGATTCAGTGAAAAATATATGTTTTTCTACATCTTTATTATCAAATAGAAAAGGATACGTAGACGTCGGTTAAGATAATATTTTGTCAACGAACGTTGCTATTTGAATTGCGGAAATAGTTTAATATCGTAAAGGGAGTACTGATCCAAGTATCGAGAACAATACACGGATTAGATTTCTCCGTAATGCTGTTTTCGAACTGCACGCAACCAACGGAGTAATAATTCTCTATCAGCACTATCTATTAACAAGGCTGATACTCAACACACGATGCATAATGAGATTGTGCTGAAGTAATCACGCATTAAGCAATCGATATTTATCCTTTTAGTGGTATACAGTGATTCGTATTTTTGAAATTCAATCTGACACGATATCCAATGGTACCGATATCTAATGGCACCGATGCAATTTCATGCAATCGTGTATTTCGAAGAATGCGCGAATATCGCCATACATCAAAATTTTCACAAACGCCCTAACGTTGCGTAAAAAAAATTATCATCGTATAACAGTCATTAATCAAACGCGACAGAGATTTTGTTTGATAAATGATGCCACACTTTACGGATCTACGAAAAAAAATGCCACGCAACTAATAAAAAACATGCAAAACACAGACGATCGTCTCTCTGTTATTTAACTCTTCAGAAACGCGCACAGCCATGCCGCAAATTCAATATCACGTTGGGTAGCGTCGATGTGATGTAACCAGTCATATTTATATTATCGATACATTTCAGGGAAAAGTGTATTCCGTGAGCGTGCGCTCGCGATTTTCATCAGTTTTTCGAACCACAGCTCTCTTTTTCTCTCTCTCTCTTTTTATCAAAAATTGCGTTCTCCCGAGGATACCGCTCGTATGAACTCTACCCCGATCATGCCAATGATATTTGTGGAAAGTCGTAAGTATTCTGTTCCTCCCAAGCTTAAGAATGTTCGATAAAAATATAAAAATATTCCGAATATTTCTGGATGTCGAAAACGATAATAATTACGTTATTCGAACAGTATGTTGCAATTAGTGTGGATTCATTTCGCGATACAGTAAAATGTTTCAGTATTGATTAGCAAGCTTTTTAAGCTACCGACATTACAATTGGGTTCATTTGCTTTTGATGTTGTTAGTTATTCTCGCATTTTCACATATTTAGTATGCAATGATGCATGTAATAATCTAATATAAAATGATCCCGTTGTTTGGTTAACGCTTCGTTCTCTAGAAACTGGTTATGAATGCTAAACATGTGTGAAATTTTCTCATTTTTGCCGCCGTTTGACGCGAGATATCGCGTGTGCACAATTATTTTTTTTATATTTAATAACGTTCTATTTCAAGTTGTTTCAGTAATTATATGCACCTTACCTTTTTACGCAACAGAAAAGTAATTACTGGGATTGAACCTTTTTCCAACAACCGGTAAATTTCCACCGTTTTATCTGCGTAACGCGCGCTCAATCATTATGAAAATTATTAAAACTAGCACTCACCGATTTCCTGATTGGTTATCCTGGCATGGCAATTGCTGGAAGCGCAGAGTAGAAGCACGAGGAGCGACGCGAGGGATCCGAGGGGAGCGGCCATCTCATCTCGAGGCATCCTCGACGCCTCGACGATGTCACGTCACGTCACGTCACGTCACGCGCGTCAACTCGTGTCAGCGACACACTCGCCCCGCTCGCCGCCTCCTTTTTACAGCACTCGTCTTCTGCTCTCTCGTCGTTAACGGAACGCGCGAACCAAGGCCCAGGCACTCTTGAAAGCACTTCCCGCTCGACTCAAACTCTCATCTTCGAACTTGCCCTCCGCGAACTCCTCCCTCATTCGCCCACGGGGTTTTTCCTCGTCAAACCTTCGAACACAACCGTCGACACATTGAATCATCATGATAAATCACGAGGGCCGCGCTTTCCTAGACGCCAATTTTCTTTTTTCTTTATTTCTCATTTCCGGGAATCGTATTCCGCGCACCCTTTTTGCGGAAAGAATGTGGAATCGGAATGAGGGTATCCTTAACAAATCAAACTTCCATTTCAAGTGGAAGTGATACGATCGAAAGTAAATTGCGTGGAAAGATATTGGGTTTCGACAGTTTTGGGGTAAATAAAAATGGTAAATAAAAATTATTATGCGATGTTTATCACGTGGAATTGACAGATAAAAGGTACACCTTGATATTTGAAATGCGTTTAAGAGTGTCAATAAACTAATCGAGTTATTTCTCTATCTACATTAAACAGAGAGCTGTGAATCAAAGGAAGACACTGAATCTCGCTCGCTAACCGAGGATTTAGATAAACCAGACCGTCAGTGCGATCGAACTTTAAGCTTGCTGCAATCAGGGGTTAGATTCACCCAGGGCGGATTACTTTGATCCTGGATCAAACAAAATTTTCTAATTTAAAAAAAAATAATTTTAACTTAAGATCTTTTTCGCGCGTCGGAGTAAATGAGCAACTTCGTGCAAGATAAATCCGGCTTTTCCTCACTTAACAAAACACAAACAGGTCATATAATTCCTGTTTCAGAAACAATTATTGAATTAACAAGCAGTTAACACTAGACTGGACGCTCGAGTTTATCAGCTGTGAAACATCGTTTATTTCTCCGGTCCGGAATTTGCTCGCGAACAACGTAACGCACGCGATATCGTGATTTCGGAAAATTGCGACCCTTGCAAACGTAGAGCGCGAGCTCGCGCTGCCCATTTCGCGCGAACGCTCTCCCTCTCGAATTCTATTCTGCTGATTTTCCTTTCTCACTTGCAGCGACGACATGCAATGCAGCTCCACTGACCGTCGCCACTGCCGCTCAAACTCTCCCGATAGCTGACGACGGCGTAATCACGCTGCTGTTTTCACCCCCTCTCTTTTTTTTTCACAAAAATGCCTGCACATCCGCAGAGAAAGCAGACGCTGTTCTCTTTTCGTCCCTCGCGAAATGTTTTTTTAGCACCGTTCGACCGCAGGAGCCGGAGGGCAGGAGAGACAGCAAGGCGCGGAAATATTTCATCCGGCGATGCAATTGCTTCCGCCGCGGATAATTCGACCGAAAAAAATCGGTAGGAGGGAAAAAAAATATTGTCCCAACGCGCGCATGTATCTGCCGCGGTGACAACACAGTGTGTTTCTTGTCGGAGTTTTTGACGCGCGCGCGCATGGCGGCTCGTCGCCTCTGACACGGCAAAATGACACAGAGCACCGGCGTTTAATATCGCGATTGTCGTTTAATCGAGTTACGTGCCCCAGTTATTATTTTATTTACCGATCGGTCGCGCAACAAGTTTATTTCCGGATACTTGCCATCGCCGCTGCCGACGCCGCCGCTGCTGTTACACACCCCCCTCGTTATATCACACGGCTCGCACATTTATATCCTGATATATCGCGTTCTACGATTCTATTAACTTCGGAGAACGCTTCTCGGTCGACACGTCGCGCTTTAAAAAAAGCATCAAAGCGCTGCAGTATAATACGTATATGTCTTTCACCGTTTCTGTGTTTCTTCTTAAATGAGGAAGTAATGCGGTTCTCGAGAAACAACAAAAGTCTCGTAACGATTTAATTTGAATGAAGATTTTACTCTCGAAAAGATTTAATTTGAACGAAAACTTTTCTCTCGTGTTCATCCGGTTCGGTGCTATAAAAAAGCATCTCAATGCATTAGAATGTGCATTTTTTTTATAAAAGTCAACGGTATAAACAATTAAAGAACACAGTGAATTTTCTATCAATTAAAGTAAATTATCGAAAAACACATTTTGCACTGTAATTTACTGAAATTTCGAAATTATTGCGATTTTTCAAATTTATATTTAATTCTATAATAAGTAAATATAATTTTATCAATATATAATAAAACGCTCCTACAGAAATAACATGCCACTGTGATCACAAACAACTACTTAAAGCTACTCGATACAATTAGCAGAAAAACATTCCAAATATTTCAAATCGAGCGGCTTAATTCGATGTCGCTCGACGCTAACAGATAATTGCGCCTTTAATTACTTTCCGCGGGCGAGACTTGGAGAAATAAATAATTAATTTCTCCCGTCGCCTTCCCTTCGCCGTTCGCCAGAGTATCTAACGAAGCAAAAAATGGCATCAATTTTCACGACGAATAAACGAACGAGCGAAGCGCATATCGAAGGGTATGCATCGTCCGAGAAATTGCATTGTAAAATTGTGAAATCGCAAGCGCGTCGCATCGGGCTGTTTAATTCGAGACTAATTAACGGTTCAATCACGTCCCGCGCGTAGATATCGCGAGGGACTCAGTAAATTACGATTCATTATTCCACATCGTACGATAGTCCGCGTAAAAGAAATGCTCGAACAGTCTCATTCGGGAGTTAAACCGCTAACCAAAAATTTGTGCACTAATTCCATAATATCCGAATGTCAGCAATTCCCAACAGCGGGGGAGAAGGTGGTATGATAAAATCCTATTTTGTTTTTCTATAATTTTCTATAATATCCTATATCCTGCTTCAATATCGTATATGTATGTAATTCAATCTATATTCTACAGAAAATTTGATAATGTAATGTAACTCTATAATGTAATGCAATGAAAATAAAGACAGAGATAAGAAACATTATAAAAATGTTATGGATTTTAGAGAAAAAGATGCGAAAAATGTATTGAATATAAACATTAAATATGTAAATATATTGTAAATATAAATATTGGATAAAAATATTGAAAATTAATAAATTTGTGCTATAGTAAATATGTTAAAAGATAGTGAAATATGTACATGTATAAATGTATACAATTCAAATATATTATAAATATAACCATCGTATTAAAAAAAAAATGCAAGCTAACATACAATAATTTGCCAAGACCAAAAAATATGTATTTCTCAAAACTGATAAAAAAATATTTTCTTTACTTTCTATGTGCGAGACATAAAGTTAATTTACGTCCAGGCACTTTAAAAACAGTGCTAAAAATACTAATAATAACAAAAACGCTATCAGAAAAGGAAGGAGGAGAAAGAAAACGAGCGAGAGCGAAAGAAAGAGAGAAGAGAGATTGTGAAAAAAGTGATAAAGCAAAAAATACAAACGGAAACAAAAGTCGAGTTATCGGGATGCGTTAGAAGCGAGGCAACAGAGAGATTGGAATAGAAAATATGTATGTGCGTATGTGTGTGCGAAGATAGCGTGCAGAATAGAAATTTAGAATAGGATAGTAAAAATATAAAATAAGTATAAAAATAAAAAAATAGATTATAAGATAGCATGTATAAGTTAATTTTTAAGAAAATAGGTTAAGGTTAACTGTAGATTGTTAAGAACAGAGATCGTGTAACCCTGCGGCGAGTCATCAATTTAAATATAGTGCAACAAAAATATTATAACAATTCCTCACTATAAAAAACTCAAGATATTTCTCTATAAACTACACGGAGAAAATTTTATATCAAAAATCACTATAATACGGCAGTAACCATGAACCATAAGAAAAATTATAGAGAAATTTAAATACTATGGCCATTATGTTAAATACATAGTAAAAATTTTTATAATTCCTACATGCGCCCGTGGCAACTGCCGTACATAATAATTTTTGATAAATTTTCAACGTGCAAAATTTTACGTTGATAAAAGTTTCTCTGTGTGTAGTTCAGTATTCTAAAATAATCAACCAAAAATGTAGAAAATGCTAACATATATCTACCATAATTTGCAACATTTCATTATTATGTTATGAAATGTTTCATCTTGTAGTTTACACTTATTTCAGTACGTAATATATCTCATTTAAGTTATATCCACAATATTTTTACTAATATTCCATCTTCTTGTACGCGAAAATACACATAGCAATTTGCCTCTCATTTGCCTTTAGCGCCTTTAGTCGCCTCTAACGTGGTGACGTGCTTTAATACCGAAAAAATCGCGAATAATGCACGTGCGGAATTTTCGCGGCGAGGAGACGTTCATAACTAATGTTGTAAGCTGCACGTTGAAATCACGGCGCGGATTAGATGAGCGACGATGCAAAATGCCGGGGATTCTTAGGACAGATCGCGGTTAGAATCCACTGATGAAACAGCATAATGCCAGGAATGTAATCGTCTACCCAGCCATCAGATTTCCATGTAAATGCATCGACGCATCTATCCGATAGAACTATTTGGTGGTCATGCCCCGAAGGGATCGAGAATCGAGCTCTAACCATCTTCTCTTGCCATGATCTCTGCGCTTTCATAAACGTACCTCGGCCTGACAATGGACGAGCTTAATGACCGAATGACCAATGACCGAGAATTCCGTTCTACTGCGTATGTCATATGTACTTCGTACATGACGCCGTCATTGCGAATACCCCGTCCCACTTCAAACCAGAGATCAATACCTCTCCTATTCATTATATTTTATTTGATACGAGATTTCGCTCAACTTAATGTAAATTCGATAATCAAATACTGAACGACGAAGAGATTATGATTTATCTTTCAAGAAGTTTGTGATACACAAAACGCAAAATTTACAAATGCAAATCAGCGAGCCCGAACTATAAATATAAGTGACGCAAATATTTTTTAGCATAGGGTAGAAGTAAAAGCGTATTCGTTTTAAAGTAAAAGCATGAAGTAAAAGCATATTCTACATTTCATATGAATAATCTTTGGCTTTTACTCTGAAGCGGCGGGATTTTGTACGTTGAGGTATACGCTTGTAAATGTCATTGCTGTCAGAATAGGTATTAACTTAAATATACAAAAAGAATTACAATATACTTTTCATCACTATGCCATTCATACTTTTTGCAGTTTATATCCTTTCACATTTTCTGTGAAACGTCATACTAATAGAGATAAACCTTAAATACGAG